TACCCTTTTATGTAATGATGTTTACTTTGAATTTATATTAGTTCACACAAACACTCCATCCATGCTTTTGTTCTGGCCCTCCAGTCCAGTTTAAGAACCCATTATGGCCCTCGAGTCAAAAAGTTTGCCCACCCCTGATCTAAACTCATGTTTCCATGGGCCTCCTTCCCCACATGCCGGTTATGTGGCCTCCCTGAGTTATAGGAGGCCTGTCGCACACTTAATAAGGATGTGTTCTTTCCATCCTTATTTTAATTTGTAACAGGACATGAAAAGGCTGGTTCCCAGGACATAAAATATCTTCAAAATTCAAATTGGCTCCAAAATACAAAGAGAGCATTGTAAACTATAAATAAGTGTTTTATCCACAGAACACAGCACTAGCTGACATGAAGTTCATTGCACCTCGCCCCACTTTTGTGATGTCTGTAATGAGCAGACGCTGTTGAAATGCCTCTTAAAAATCAATGCGTGTTAATGCTCACGGATCCACACGAGAACCAGCACTGCAACCCTCACTTAGCAGATGGGGAAACTAAAGAAGAGGGGTTATGGAACTTGGACAACATGACAGTCAAGAAGTGGCTGATCTAGGACTTGAACCGAAGTAGTCTGGCTCACTGTCCCCACAGCCCTGTGCCATCTGACACCCATTATCTATGGGTGCTGATCCAGGCTCAGTGCCCCCACAGCCCTGTGCCATCTGACACCCATTATCTATGGGTGCTGATCCAGGCTCAGGCTGCCGGGTGTAGGGAGAGCAGAGGACGTGATGTATAAGCACAGCCTCTTGCTTGCTGGGAGCTGGGATTTGTGCAGGACTCTTTAGTGAGGTGGCAACATTGAGACTTTATAAAGTTTACTTTTCCCACTTTCTAAAGTTCATGCACGACCTGTCCAGTCATTAAGACTGCCGAGCGACGGAGCATGGATTCGGGGGCTGCTGGGTAAAGCTCCACGTCTGTTAGTCTGGTGGTTACAGTGCCATTCAAGTTCCTGCTTTCTTACCGACCTTCTGTCTGGATGTTGCACCCATTACTGAAAGCGGGTGTTGAACTTTCAACTGTTACTGCAGAACTGCCTATTCTCCCTCGATTCTGTCCACGTCTTCTTCACATCACTGACTCAGTGTTGGCTCAGATCTGCAAGCCCCTGACTGTGCCGAGTCCTGACAACTGCTCGGGACAGTCCTGCTCATTCCCCAGGTCTCCGTGGAGGGATGAGGCGTGGAGCTGCCTTCTCCACCGTTCCAAACCTGGGTCTCCCGGGGACCTTCTGACACCGAGGTCACCGGACTGGAAGGGAAAGTAAGTCTGTTTCCTCCAGGGGACATTTATAGGTGTGGGCGTCAAAGCTTCCTCGGGGGTCAGAGCTCCATGAAGGGCCGGTTGACGAGCAGTCACCCTCACAGCAATCCCACACTGACGCCCCTCCTGCTCCGATCCCACCTTAGAAATCACTAAGTAGGAACTTTGGCCCAGGTGGCCTCATTTATTTCCTAACTTGCTTTCAAAAAACTTCCTCCCCAACTTCTAGTTAATGTATTTTCTTTGAGAAAGTTTAGAAAATATGAAAAAGCACAGCAATAAAACGATCTGCGATCCCATTTCCCGAGGTAACCGCTGTTAGCATGCTGACATCTCCCACACTTAGAACAATGCCCGGTTCTGGTGAGTGTCTGGTGGGTGGCAGGACCACCTGGCATCCACTCAGCTCGCAGGGTTATTCCAGATGGCACCTATGGCATCGGCACGCCCTCGCCAGGAAGCCTGTTCCATCGCTTCATGAGACCATCGGGCCCTGTGCTGACTCAACTCCAGTCTCCACCCGCTGAGATTGTCCCTCCGCCTTCCAATAAAACAAAAGCTGGTTGTTTGCTCTGCTGATGAGCATGAAGATATTTTAAGGTTGTGGGTTCCACCATCTCTGTCATCTATGTCTGCCTGTCAATTAAGTGACCTTTGCCCCATTGAGTTGTTTTTAATCCTTAAAAAGCAGCGGAATGTCTCCTTTATTTTAAAATGAAATCTATGAACCCTGCAACATGAAATAAAGGAGACCGAGCTCCACTGCGGAGGTCTGTGCGTGTGTGAGCGGCAGGTGGAGAGGCCGTTCATTCACAGCCTGTCCCGCGTGGCCCTCCCAGCACCCAGGCGGATGCACACCCTCGGGCTCCGGGCGAGGCTGCTGGCCACACACCACTGTGCTGTGCTGGAGACCGGTCCTGCTGATGGCTGGAGGACACTGACTCTGTGTCTCCCGGGGCTCCTCAGTGCCAGCACTCTGAGACTGCCTCCTGGGATTAAAGATGAGCCATCCATGGGGGCGTGGCTCGTGTGTGTCCCTCACCAGTACCTGAAGGAGCCTGACAGGGAGGGACCATTTCACTACTCTACCAGGAAGAGATCATCAAGTGCTTTGTGAACAGGACTGTGTTGGTGGTCGCTGAAAACAACCATATCTCAGGCCACCCCAGCATCCTTAGGCCCCTCCGTCCATTCCCTCCTCATCATTCCTGCTTCCAGCTCCCATGACAGTTCTCTTTAGAGCTGGGCAGTTGTCACCAATGCTGTTGGTGCAACAAAATATAACTAAATAAATACTGAATTTCTTTTTTTTTCAAGGTACTGCGGGAGGGACTGTGGAGACCACGAAGATGGTAAAGAACACTTACTACTCTGAAAGGGGAGACAATTCACGTAAATTTGTGCTGCAAAGCAAGTCAATGCACCAGAATGTATGGTAAGAAAATTCCAGTATTTTTTAGCAGCACGTAGAGATATTTTGAAAAATGACCCATCCAATAACAGCGTCACCAACAGGAGGTGCTACAGAACGAGAGAAGGCGAAGGACACCGAAGGAACATCCCCTCACTGCCTTGGCCTTCAGGACATAACCCTGCCCAAGAAGAAAGCACCTATAACAGGCTGGAGACAGGTGAACATGCGTTTTTTGCAATTGGCATGTTAGACGTACTGAGAATGGAGGCTGGGTGTGAACTGCAGCGGGGAGACGTTAGGAAGGTGTGTTTACACGGAAAAGGGATGGATAGGGCTCGGACATAGTTTAGTGAGAACAAGAAGCACCACAACCCACAGGCCAGAGGAGGAGCGTGTCCAATGGAAGATAGAGACCGAAATCTGGAGGGGCGCTCTGGGCCCCAGGGGGCTGAGTGGCTGAGCAGGGGTGCTCTGGGCACTGGGGGTGGGGGGCTGGGTGGCTGAGCAGGGGTGCTCTGAGCA